AATGTATTTCTTAAAACAGAAACTATAGGACATAGGTTTAAAGACTGGAATATATATTCCACTCCTGAAAAAGAGTCAGCAGCACAGAAGAACTGATAGATCCAGCAACTGAACCTATAAACTCTCTTGAAAGTGAAGCTGCTCTCTCTCATTTCTCAAAAGCCAAAAACAAAACAAAACATGCTAGAGACAACATTTATCTGCCCGGCCACACTGTTAACTAACATACTGGGTAATACTCAAGAATAAGGAAACAGCAGCAATTTCTCAGAGAACTAGAGGAATGCTGGTCCTTGGGTGCTGCTCATGATGGGAGGGTGGCAGGAGAGGGAACTAATATTAGCCAACAGACAACCAAATCTAAGAAGTGTTTGTGAAGGACTCAGCAGCGAAGGAAACAGAGATGCAGTTATCTTAATGGTATGGACCATCTTTTATTGATTGTCTTTTACTCTTTCTATCAGTAGAGTGAAAAGACCCCCAGAGGCAGCTGATTTTAGTTGGTATGAAACAGCAGCACATTATTTGTTATTTAATGTATTTCTATTGTATTTTTCTATCAGAGATGGGAAGAGTTTTTGTGGGATTTTATCAAAATATTGGATAGTATGGTAATACCCAACCTTGGGTATGAGACAACTTGATTTGTGTAGAGGGGCTACAATTTGCTTTTCTGCCTCAAGGAGCAAAATGTCTTGGTCTGGACCTGTTTCCAGTCTTTCGTTATTGAAGGAAATGTTATAACCCAATTGCATAAAGGCAAAACTGAGACCTAGAAACTAACTTAAATTTATTGACACAAATCACACATCACACCAAACCATGGCTTGTGCTAACCATAGCTTAGAACTCCAACCACAGTTTGAACTTCAAACATGTAACAAGCAAATTGTGGTTTCAAAATACTCAACTGCTTTCATTTTCACCTCTTATCAAACAACTGCATAAATTCCTGTTTTGTTGGCTGTGGTGCCTCAATCCCAACATCATGCCAAACCAAAGTTAGGTGTATTCTACGCAAACTATGAATTTACATGGATATTATAAAATGTAAGTTATTTTTTTAAATGACTCTTGCCTGCTGCCTCTGTAGTCCGGTGAAACAATACATGGTTCTGAGTTCCATGTTTTAAACAACCCAGAGCGCACTACCCAACATCAAGCAAAGGATGTTTGTAATGAACAAGCCATGATTTGTTTCCACTTTTAGACATAATGACAACCTACAATACAACAACCAAAACCATGGATAAACTTGTATGTTGAATGAAATGCCCATCACTTAACTTGTAATCTAGCTACTTCTGTCTTGTTCCACAATGGCCTTTGTCTGAAATCACGTGAAAAAACATTGCGTATGTACAGGTGCTCCCACATCTTCCCATAAAACATGTTGCCTTCCAAGCCTCTGTGCTTGAGGATGCTTCAAAGCCTGGAAATCTGCAGCACAATGTAAACAGCTAAAAGAAACCTTCTTCTGCCCCATTGGCTGTGGGGCAGAAGAACCTTTGTCCCATTGGCTGTGGTCAACAGGGTAAGCAAACCACTGCAGTGAACAGAGCAAAGGCTTGGCCTTGAATTCTAATAGTCTGTGTTATGAAGAAGTAGTAAAGCTCACACACACTCTCTAGAAGCCTAACCCCACTTCCCCTTTAAAGGAGGAGGTCTGTAAAACATCTGGTACCAGTTTTTGCATGTGGCTGAATACAGAGGAAGATGGGACACGTGTGGATGTTATCTGTCCATTCCTATGAACGCACAAGCTGCTCCTGAAACCGTTGTGTTTCTCCTCCCTTGCTGCCCGTACTGGGGAGGAAGTAGGCTTACCATGAGCAGCAGCAGCAGCTCTCCAGTTGTGAGTGACAAGCCAGGCTCCTCTTGTCAACACAGCGTGGTGTCCCTTCCTGGCATTTTGATCGGAGCAAAGTTGAGTGCTTGTGGGTAACACACACCATCAAAGAGAGGCGCAGACTCACTCATCGACATTCACAAAGCAGCTCACTGTGGCACGATAACTACTTCAATGAGGGTAATTAAGGTGCCAGAGAAGGAAATGCCATTAAGGGAGGCATCCCGCAGCGCTACTAACTGAGTTCACCAAGCCTGCTTTGTTGTGCATAGGGGCATCCACGGGCCCCTGACCTAATTAGGCTCAATCTGAGAGCATTAATTGGTTTGTAGAAGGAACAATAATCGGGAGTGGGTGGATTGCCCTGTGCAAGGTCTTCAGGAGGCACAATGGACCAGGCCTCCCCAGCGCCTGCCGTGTGGCTCCACCAGCCCGTGGAAGCTGCGGTGCCCAAAGGTCAGCGGGCTGCGTGGCTGCCACCATAATACCACACTGGGAGTTCCAGCAGGCTGGATCACCGCCCACCCACTGTCTGGCCGTTCTCAGAACAAGGCTCATCGTGCGAAGGCAGCCGAAGGAAGGAAGGAAGGAAGGAAGGAAGGAAGGAAGGCAGGCAGGCAGGCAGGCAGGCAGGCAGGCATGTGCGTGCCTCTCTTCGGCCCAATTCATGGCAAAGTGTGACTCCTGCACGAGCCCAGCGCTGGCACTGCATGGACAAAAAATTACCGCAATGGCCCACTGTGAGAATATTAATGGGAATGTCATTTATACAAAGTTGCTTAACTTCAGGTTTAGCTCAGGGAGTCCCAACCAGCTCCTGCTGCACCTGACGTGCATATGAATCCTCCCTTTCAGTATTTCACACCACATGCCATTTCTTTTCTTTACTAGGTTACCCTGCAGTCAAACATAAATCTGAGAGCGTATCCTGTGCATTAAGCACTGTCCCAGCCTGCCTAGCTAAGAAGAGAGACATTCCTCAAAGGAGAACAGGAGACAGCAAAGGCAGGGGGAGGGCAGGAAGCAGTGGGCTATAAATTGAGACGAAGGGGCTTAAGCAGTGCTTGGGGGGCAAACAGCATAACGCAGGAGTTGCAGGATAGGATCAAGAGTCAGCAGAGCCTACCAACTCTCTCCACCAGACTCGCAGTGTCTATTCCTCCCTACAGCTTTATGCCACTTTCTTTTAAAAAGTCCAGTGAGAATAGGAAGAAACAGAAGGTCAAAAGGTACAAGAGGAGAATATTCTACTCAGCCGCAATAAATCCAACCACTAAACCGCCTTGCGCCCGCCCCCCAGCCAAAACAGCATGTTCTTGTGCTGCATTCTGGTGAATTATTTAGCATCTCCTCCAGCCTTACTTCCCTTTTGCACCCCCACCAAGGCAATGGCCACCATCAAGCTGCAGAGGAATGAGGAGGATTCTCTAGCCCCTGCCAGCGAGTGGGTTATGAGGAGGGGGTGTTAATGATCAGCCCCTGTTCCAGCTGCGCTCTCATTTCTCCCCTCCCCTCCCCCCCATGCTTTTATTCTGGATAATTCAGAACCTCACATGCAGAGATGAAAGGCGCACACGGAGCCTGGGCTGCCATTCCCTTGCCTGTGTATCCCCCACGCCTGCCACGTTCTTTGCTTGATCACCCCTCTATCTGCCTCACATTTTGCTGCTGCTCCAGGCTAATCACTGGCATTGCCTAGGTGGGAAGATCTGATCCAGAAAATGAGCTCTCTCCCCAGATGGATCTTCTTCTTTCTTCACCCCTCATTAAACTGCTGAGGGGGGAGGGAGAAGAGAGGGTGAAGGGTGAGCCTGTGAAGAATAGACCACCACGGCTGCAGACTTGGCAAGAGGATGCAGTCCCACAGGGACTTCGGGAGACGGCAGTGACAGCAGCAACGGAAGCCTCCACAGGGAGATTTCTCCGAGGTCCCTCGTCCTGCTTGGCACTCTGATAAATTGGAAGTGCAGCCATCCAGGGGTTGCACAAAGCGCCACGGGTGAGCCTTTCAGTCCAATCCAGGCAGCCCCCGAGTGCAGCCTTCCCTACTGGACACCCTCCATAGGTGTTGGGTTGGACCTCCATCATCCCCAGCCAGTAATAAGCCATACAGGCTGGGGAATGATAAGAGTCGCATGTTCAACACATCCAGAGGGTGCCAGAGAGGAGAGGCCAGAGGAGAGTTTTGGGAGAGGCCAGAACTTCGTGGCATGTATGGTGAATGATGCAGCCGCTGGGGTTTGTCACCCTCTCAGAGTGACCTTTACCGGCGAAGCAGCAGAGGAAAGATGGTTATATTGTGCCAACTCAGGCGCGACCAATCCAGCAGGTCTCTCTGCCCCCCATCCACTCCTTGCGCCCCACCACGTCCCCCAAAATTAGACAGGCACCTAGTGCCGCTGAACAGTTTCCTCAAGAGAGCCCGAGAACGGGCACGACACACACGCAAGGCTAGTGAGGAAATAAACAGCCCGGGCCGGCCAGAAGCGATTCACACTCGCCGCGTGAGCGCGCAAGTGCGCACACCCCCAGCGTGCCTCCTCCCGCTTTTGGAGAGGAGGAGGAAGAGGAGTGCAGGAAAGTTGGCCCTGTCCGGGCCATCACCCATTATCCTACGTCCGCGCTGGAAGGGAGCGCAAGCACCGGATCGCGACCGGCAGCAGTCCTCTCCTCTCCTGAATGGGCACCGCTGCTGCCCAGGCCACCAGGCTGCGGTGCATGTGAGGGGGAGGGGCCTCCTGGAGCCCTTTGATACGTGTACACGCACACACACACCGTGGTTTGGGAGAGGGCACACCCGCACGGGCACGCGCGACGACTCCCTAACAAAGGCGATCGCGGGACCGATCCTGGCGCCCCAGACGGAGGGAGGCTGCAGCTGTTCGCTCAGCCGCTCCAACTCCCTCCTGGCGTCCCGACTTTCTCGAGGAGACCCTGCCTCCCACCCGCCTCGGGCGCTTGCATGAGCGTGGGGTCCCAGCGGTCCGTCCCAGCCGGCCGGGTTCCATTGTGGGGGGCGGGCGGGGGGCGGGGAGCCGCGGAGGGGGAGCCCCGAAACACGGGGAAGGCTCGCCGAAGGCGCTGAGCGCCGCCCCCTTCCCCATGGCTCCTCCAGACACACGGGTCGCCCGCGCCCTCCGCCGGCACTTACAGCCTTTCCGCGTTCCTCGGGATGTTCTTGGGGACGCCGCGGAGCCCCAGCCCGTGACAGTCGACCGTCGTGCCGCTGCAGGCGCAGGGGGCGGGACAGGCGCTCGCCCGCACCCGGCAAAAGGCCGCCCAGGCCAGCAGGCAGGCGCCCGCCCGTAGCCACGCGCCGCCGCCCGACGCCCCCTGCTTCTTCGGAGCCATGCTGCAGCCGCCGCCGCCGCCGGGGCCGGCGAACGAGCTAGCGAGGGACTGCCCCGCACATGATCGCTCGGCGCGCTCGTGGGGCGGCGTGGACGGGCTCGTCGCCCCGGGCGGAGGCCGGGGACCGCAGCCCTGCGCCGGCGCCTCTGCCCGTCCGGACCGCAGGAGGGGAGCGCTCCGGGCACCGGCAGCCGCGCACCGCCACGCGCGCCCTTCCCCGCTGCTCTCTCCGCGCGCTCTCCAACGCACGCACAGGGAGCGCTCATCCATCAATCCCAGACGGCAGGAGCTGGCTTGGCTCCACCCCCGCCCACCCCGCCCCTCCTTTGGTCTCTCAACCCGCCTCGGGTGCGGAGACCCCCCCGCCCCCCGCCGCCGCCGCCGCTCTCGCAAACAGCGGGATGGGGGGGGGGGGAGCGGGACGAGAAAGACCGAGGAACGCACAGGCTGCAGATAAAGTACTCTCGCAGACCCGCAGATAAATCTGCAAGCACCTCGGGAGAGGGTACGGTGCGCGCACTCGGTGCTCGACATGCACAGACACACAATAAAATACACGAGCTTTCAAGGGAGCACCGGGACCTATTGCAGGAAGAAACGCGTTTGTTCACTCGCCTAGTGAAACCCACACCTAGCGAAAGCGTCAGGCCAGAAACCCCTGCAAGAGGAGGCAGAAACCTTTGCAAGAAGGGGAACAGACACACGGGCCCCAAGAATATTCCTATCCTCCCTGCACTGCAGTCCAACAGATTTGCTCAGGAGTTAGAGCCATTTAATAAAAGGGCTTGGAGGCGAGAGGTTCTTAAATGCTACTGTTTAGGTTCGTTCATCATCACCAACATTTGTTTTCTGCCCTCAGCCCTGCAAACTCTCCTGTAGTCAGTGGGGTTTTTTTTATTTTAATACAAATGCTAAAGTGTTGTTAATTTCAAAGGAGGATTCAATATCAGACTAACCTTTGTTGTTCTTAGGTGCCATCAAGTAGGCGCTGCCTTTTGGCGACCCTAGGAATGAGTGCTCCGCAAAATCACCTGTCCTTCGCAGCCCTGCTCTGCTCTTGCAAACTCAAGGCTGTGGCTTCCTTTATGGAAATGATCTAAGTCAGGCTTAGTCTTCCTCTTTTTCTTCGACCTTCGATTTTCCATAGCTTTCTTGTCTTCTCCAGGGAGTCTTGCTTTCTCATTATGTGCCCAAAGTACAACAGCTTCAGTTGTGTCACTTTTACTTCCACAGAAAGTTCTGGCTTGATTTGATCTAAAACTCACTTGTTCATTTTTCTGTCAATCCAAGGTATTTTCAAAACTCTACACCAGCACCTTTACTCTCCATGCATAAATTTTCTTCCTGTCAGCTTTCTTCACTGTTTAGCTTTCCACCCATACATAGAAACAGGGAATACAGCAGTGTGGGTAATATTGACCTTGGTCTCCAGTGAAACATCCTTTCGTTTGAATATTCTTTCTAGTTGCTTTCCTAATCTCAGTGTTCTAATTTCTTGGCACGCAAATAAATAAAAATCAAATCACAATGTCAATTTCTTCATTGTTGACAGTAAAAGTATGTCATTCCTCTGTAATCATTATTTCTGTTTTCTTGATGTTCAGTTGCAGTCTTGCTTTTGTGGGTTTTTTTCTTTCATTTTTTCCAGGGGTCTTTTCAAGTCATTGCTGCTTTCTGCCAGTAGTATGATATCATCTGCATATCTTAAATGAGTGATGTTTCTTCTGTCAATTTATACTTCTTGCTCTGATTCTAATCCAACTTTCTTTACCTTATGTACTGTGTACAGAGTGAACAGATAGGAAGATAAAATACACCTTTGTCTGATGCCTTTGCTTCTGGGAAACCATTCTGTTCTCCATATTCTATCCTAGCAGTAGCTTCTTGTCCATAATACAGGTTAAACATTAGGATGATTGAGGGTTAGGGTCTCTCCTCACAGGGCAGTGTTTCCCAACATCATTCCATCATTGTTGTTGCCCTTCTCTGGACCCTTTCTAGTTTTTCTGCATCTTTCTTAAATCTTGGTGCCCAGAATTGGACACAGTATTCCAGAAGAGGTCTGACTAGTGAGGAATATAGGGGAACTATTTCTTCTTGTGAGATGGAAGTAATACTTCTATTAATGGATCCTAAAATAGCATTTGCCCTTTTTGCAGCTGCATCATATTGTTGGCTCATATTTAGCCTGTTTTCCACAATTACCACGATGTCTTTTTATTTTTCAATTCTCTTGAGCCACATATTCCCCAGCATTTGGTTTCTTTTTCCTAGGTGGAGGACTTGGCACTTGTCCCTACTGAATCTTATTCTGTTGCTTTCAGCCCAGTGTTCAAGTTTATCAAGATCACCCTATATCTTCATTCTGTTTTCTAGGATGTTCCCTATTCCACACAGCTCTGTATTGTCTGCAGATTTGATTATCTTTCCTTGTACTTCCTCATCCAAATCATTAATAAAGATGTTGAAGAGCACTGGGCCCAGAACTGAATGCTGTGGCACCCTACAGGTTACCTCCATATACTTTAAGAAGGTTCCACTGATGAGCATGCTTTGTGTCTGATTTAGCAGCCAATTTTGGATCCACTTAATAATTTTTCTATCTAGTCTTTTTTTTTTTTTTTTTTGCTAATTTGCTTATCAGAATGTCATAGGGCACTTTGTCGAAAGCTTTGCTAAAGTCTCGGTAGATTATGTCCATAGTGTTTTCTCTGTCCATTTGGAAGGTTACCCAGTCAAAAAATGAGATTAAATTAGTCTGACAGGATTCATTTTTGATTTTCAGTCTTTTCTCAAACACCTAGATTGCTTCCATTTTCTTGGCCCAACTAGCCACAGGTGGGAAACTTACCCCCACTCTCAAATCATGACCAACAATAAACAGTCTAACACAGATCCAATCATTATGCAAGTTAAAGTTTCCAAATTGGGTAGAAAATCAGGACTGTGATGTAGGTTTGGTTATTATGGATAAAGTCTTCCTACTGATATTTGTATATTGCTTTTGCTAACGAGTGGCATGAAAGTGCTTTAAATCATGGGTCCTCAAACTACAGCCTGCGGGCTGGATCCAGCCCACCATGTCCATTTATATGGCCCGCCATAGAGGTTTTGGACATGCCATGCACGCCCATGCAGCAAGGCGGGGGCTTGCTTTCGTGCAGAGATCATTTTGGACACACTCGGAGAAAACTATCTCCTTGCGAGTAAGCTGGTGCCTCGCCACACATGCGTGCCCCCCCGCCCTGGCCCACGCCCCCCTGCCCACACCGCCTTGGCGGCCCACACCCATCACCAGCACCCTTCAACTGGCCCCCTGTTTAAAAAGTTTGAGGACCTCTGCTTTAAATGACCGATAGACAGGCAGACACCATCTTTTTAGAAGCGGTCCCCACCATCATCACTACAACTGGAGAAAGAGGTCAACCAAATGCTGCATCACTCCAAGCAACAAAAAAGCAAATGCCATTCTGCACTAGGAAATTACTGCATCTTTATTTTGTTGAATATGAAAGCTTGAGAACAGTCCAGACTGTTGTCAAACTCTCATACTGTGGGAGATTCCAAGGTTGGAACAGTCAACAAATTCTATGTTACCTGTATTTTTACCTAGATGCCAACATCTTATTTTCCCCTCTTTCTATCCAATATAGTCTAAAAGTGCACTCCTTTACCAATCTACTCAGAATGAAGCCCTGTTGAATTCAATGAGAGTGATTGTCATTTAAGTGGGTATCAATGTGCAACCTAAATAGCTTGTCTATACAGACATACATAATTTGATCGGTAAGATCACTGTACAGGCTAACTTAACACTTTTTATTCAAGACACATTTTTTCACTCCTAAATACAATATGTGTTTGTAACTAAAGCTGCTGTTTCAGTTTTGATTATTTGAAACCAGTGAAGCATTAAAATAATCATCCACTCTCCAAAGTACTTTTCCACCTATTTTAAAATTGACTGTGCTTTAGAAAAACATAAGTGAAGAAGCACACATCTAATTCACAGGTAGGCACTTCCAACATTTTAGACTGCAACTGCCATCCTGCTCCAGTAAAAACGGCTAAAGGTCAGGCCTCATGGAAATTGCAATCCAAGCATCTGGAGGGTGCCAATGCTTCCTAAATGTAGCCAAAACACTTGCAGTACTTTAAACATTTTAAAAAGTTAACAGCCTACCAGAAGAAAGGAAGTGGGGCAAAACAGTTGAATTGGTGAGCAGTTGGCAAATGACTATATCTGTAACTTAGATTCCCCTATTAAATTGAAGTGTGCTATAACCCTCACGCTCACTAACCTTTATACATTTTTTCTATGGGCAGGGCTAGGCATTTCAAATATTTCAAATGCATCGTTTTACTTCCTGTCAGCTTTCTCTACTGCTTCATTTTCACACCCACACATTGTGATTGGGAATACAATAGTTTGGAGGATCTTGACCTGGGTCTCCAGTAAAACATCCTTATATTTGATGATCTTGTCTAATTCCTTCTTTCCTGCCCTTCCAAGTCCCAGTCTTCTAATTTCTTGGCTGCCGTCTTCCTTTGAATTAATGACTGAGCTGAGGTATGTGAAATCTTTCACAATTCTGACGTCTTCATTGTTAACAGTAAAGTTTGGTAATTATTCTGTGTTTTTTGTTTGTTTAGTTGCAAAGTCATGCTCAACCCATTACGACCCCATGAACTACATTCCTCCAGGCATTATTCTGTGCACATGATTTTTTTTTAATATTCAGCTTGAATCCTGCTTTGGTGCTTTCTTCTTTTACTTTTACCAGGAGTTGTTTCAGGTCAACATATATTTGCAACATGATACCTACTGCCTCCTCTTTTTTGGAATAAGCATGGATGTCCAGCATTTCCCCC